CCGTGGCCGTGGGGACGGCGCGGTGAGTTCCGTGGCCGTGGGGACGGCGCGGTGAGTTCCGTGGCTGGGGCACCTCTTGTCCCGTCAGTCCTCAGGACGCTGTGACAGATGTGACCCCTGGAACAGGGATGGCTCCCCCAAAATAAGAGCCTCTTACGGGAAAATCTACCGAAAGACCGATTTTGTGGGAGAGGATTCGGGTTATTTCCCTAACGTCCCTGAGTCATGCACCCTAGCCCTGTACCTGTGCTGCCTTCCCCCCACCCCCACCCCCCGGAGTGGGCCAGGCCTCCCCACGCGCTTCGACCAAGAGCACGCAAGGGAAGTGATGTTGCGCGTGCATCTTGTGGGACCAAGCCTTTCCAGAGCCTGCAGCTTCCTTCTCTGCCCTGGGCCGTTGCTGCCTTGGGAGCAAGCCTGGCCGGTTCCCTCCCTCTCTGCGGAGAACCAGAGACAGCACAGCCGCAGGCTGACCCAGGGGACGGAGAGCGTCCGCTCCTTCAGGGGCGTGGACCAAATCCAGCCCCGGCTGTCCTGCCCACAGATGAGACCCTATCAGGTAACCCCAGCCTGGGCACCCGGCCCACCCACAGCAGCTGGAGACCCCATGATCAGTGCTGTTTCAGGACCCTAACTCGAGGGATGGTTTCTTACACAAACATGAAAGACCGATAAAGGATTTCTCCCGGATGGTCCCAGATAGACGAGCCTGAGATAAGCCTTTGCGCCTGTTTTGCAGGGGCACAGGGAAGAGAGGCAGGGGCGAGGCAGGGCAGGTGGCTCCAGGCTCATGAGCTAAGCACCAGCCAAAGGTCCCACCTGCTAACATCACATCGGGCTTTGCCATTTCTCCCTGTGACTTTCGGGCACCCGCACGTCCAGCCCACAGCCTCGGCCGTGCTGGGAGAGCAGGAAAACGGACCGTGACCCTCGGGTACAAGGCTGCTCTTCGAGTGATGTAAGTGCTCTGGTCGGCGTTGCTCAAGTTCCTTAATCTAGGAAAACCTGCTCGACTGTTGACTTTAAATGCGTGAATCGTGTGGTTTGCAAATTATGTATCAATGAAACTGCTAAAAATGCATCCTGGACAGGTCAGAGGTCAGTATTGACACAAGTTGGGCATTGTGGTTACAAAGTAACACTCTGGAGTCTGCACCTAGGGTAACTGAGTTTATGGAATGGATTAGTGATGGAATTCAGATTTTTTTCCAGTTTTTTGGGGTTTTGTTTTTGTTTTTGCTTTGAACAACATTGCTCCAATAAATATTACTACAGGTATATGTTTATACTTCTCTGTGTGAGATAACTACCCCTAAAATTGTTGGACCAAATTTCCTGCCCTGATTTCATTTATTGGGTGCTGCCAGGTTAATTTATGAAAAACAAACAAAAAACAGCAGTTCACCCTTAGACCAATAGTACGCAAGGCCGTTCATTCCCTTAAACCTTCACCAGCACTGGGTGGAATCACTCTTTTTTCTTTAAGATTTTATTTTATTTATTTGACAGAGAGCAAGTGAGAGAGCAAGCACAAGCAGGGGGAGGGGCAGAGGGAGAAGCAGGCTCCCTGCGGAGCAGGGAGCACATGTGGGGCTTGATCCCAGGACCCTGAGATCATGACCTGAGCTGAAGGCAAATGCTTCACCCACTGAGCCACCCAGGTGCCCTGAATCAATTTTTTTTAATTGTGGCAAATACGGAGGTAACATCATGACCCATTATTGTTTTAATTCACATTAGAGGACGGTGAGTGAGATTAAACACATTTTCTTCTATTTATTAGGTATTTGCATTTTCTCTTTCGTACATTTTCTCTTCTAGCATCTTGCCAGGTTTTACTAGATTTACTTTTTCATCTTCATACTAAAAGGGCTTCCTGATGTAGTCATGCCATTAGCCTTTTGCCTGCCCTATGTTTTCCAACTATTTTTCCTTTTTTTTTTTAAATCTTTGAGCATAATAAATGTTTATTGTTGGAGATTTAAAATAAATAACTTTATAAAGTTATCTATAGACTCTATCCTAGTTGTTATGACAGACAACCTGGGTTCAAAAATTCAAATAAAAAAATGAAAATTTCTGGAGGGCAAAATATATTTCTTCTTATTTTTCCACTTTATTTCCTACTATCTTTTGAAAATATTAGATAGTTGAAAAAAGAATATAACATTGTATTTTCCCTAACTGGAATTAAAATAAAAGCTTAAAAATAATTGGGGAGAAATCGGTTTTTGATTTTGTAGTTTATGCCAGATGGAAAATTTCAATGTTTTGGAGATAAATCTATCAGTATTTTTTTTTTAACTTTTTTATTTATTTGGCAGAGAGTGAGCATAAGCAGGGGGAATGGCAGGCCAAGGGAGAAGCAGGCTCCCCGCCGAGCAGGGAGCCTGACACGAGCTCCATCCCCGAACCCTGGGATTGTGACCTGAGCCAAAGGCAGACGCTCAACTGACTGAGCCACCCAGGCGCCCCTCTCAATATTTTCTTGTATACCTTCCAGGTTTCCTGTACAGCTTAAGAACTACTTCCTCTCTCCACCTCAACCCCCAAGGTTGTATTAATAGAAAATTATACTGTATTTTAGTTTCATTTTCCACAATTAGATATGTAATTCAAATTTCTGTCTATGATATGGAATATACGTGTCTAATGTTTAAATTTTTCCAGGTGCTGTGTTCTCCTTGACCCAGTAAGCAGTAAATTTGACTTTGTTATAGGAATAAGTTTTACTGGAGTTGCTCAAGGAAAAGTCTTCCAACATTGCAAAATGCAAGCCGTGAGCCCCAGTCTCCACCTCTCGTCCGTCTCCGGGCTGCATTTAATAGATTCATCACCCCTGCCTGCTTTTACTCCCTTGGCCGAGGGGTAGGCGTTGCTCCTGGCTTTTCCCGCTTCGGCCCCTGCAGCGTCTCTGCCCACAGTTCCCTCAGTCTGGAATCCCCCTTTCTTGCAGCTCCAGAAACTCCTTCTAAGTAACACATCTCCGCCGCGTGCTTTTGCAAAGCCTCTACCTCCACACATCAGCCCCTTGACTCAAGCCCGTCCTTGTGACCCTCATCATTTCCCTCGTGCTTCCTGCCACTGTTTGTATATATGCTGTTGTGGAATATTTCCTCTGCCTCATCTTCCAGAACAAGGGGACAGTTTCCAACAGGGGACATTCTTTTCATAATCTCTCTTGACTTTTCAAAATTTAAGAGTCTTTTTCCAGTGTCCCAGAAGCTCTTTTGTGTTCTCTATCTGGATCACCCAAAGGCATCCTTTTTTTTTTAAATTTTTTATTGTTATGACAATCACCACACATTACGGTCATTAGTTTCTGATGCAGTGTTCCATGATTCATTGTTTGTGCATAACACCCAGTGCTCCACGCAGAACGTGGAAGCCATCTTCTTATACCAGAAGCACTTACCTCCTGTTTATTCTCTTAGTTCTGACTTCCCAGCTGCGTGTCCCACTCAGGGGGTGCGGGAGGAAGCGTGGCAGACTGGCGGGGAGGGAGTGAGCCTGTCCCCCGTCATTCCCGTCTGCTTTCTGGACTTGCGAGTGACACCTAGTGATGCTATTTCCCAGGGACTCATTACTCTCACATAACGCCCAGTGCTCATCACATCACGTGGCGTGCCCCCCCCCCCGGCCAATGCCCATCCCCCAGTTACCCCATCCCCCACACCTTCCCTCAAGCAACCCTCAGTTTGTTTCCTGAGATTGAGTCTCTTATTGTTTGTTTCCCTGATTTCGTCTTGTTTTATTTTTCCCTCCCTTCCCCATGATCCTCTGTTTTGTTCCTCAAATTCCTCATATGAGTGAAATCATATGGTATTTGTCTTTCCCTGAGTTATTTCACTCAGGATTATACCCTCTACTTCCATCCACATCGTTGCAAATGGCAATGTTTCGTGCTTTTTGAGGTCAGGCCTCAGTTTTATTCACACCCCAGAAACGCGTCTCGCGGACCCCTCGCAGACCCTGGGACCGGCCAGTCCTGGCGCCCCAGTCCCCGGGCTTGTCTAGAGCCTCGATGACCTCGAAGCATAGGGAGTTTCTGGTATTTGCACAATTTGATCTAAAGACAGAGTAATTTTGTGTAATCCAAACCCAAACCAGCTCCTTAATTGTAGAGCCAGCGCAAGATAAAAATGGGGAGCTTTTTGCTAAAAAATTAAGAATGACGAAACTGTGACCTCAGGGTGTCCAGTGCGGGGCCCTTGTGAGCCTGGGGTCAGCGCGTGGGTTTGTCACACACCCGTGAAGCCCGTTCCGATGCGCAGCTCAGTTCCTCCCGGACCCCCAGCCTTGGGGAGTGGGCGCTGCCTCGGGGGATTTCCGTGCCGGGGTCACCCCTATCCTCCCTGTTCTGCTGGTTAGGTTCTCCCTCTGCTATAGAATGCTTTCTGTGACACCTGGTGCGGCTTTCCTCCCAGTGCGCCCTGGCGTCCCCCTCTTTAACTGCTTAGGGCATTTATCTGACCCCTCATCCGCAGTTGTGTGGACAGATCAGCAAACGTCCGGTTTTCCAACAAGCAGCTCAAAACGTCAAAGTCAGAAACATATATTAAGACACGTTCAAAATGGTTTTTAAAAATAGGGTATAGGGGGGCGTCTGGGGGGCTCAGTGGGTTAAGAATCTGCCTTCGGCTCAGGTCATGGTCCCAGGGTCCTGGGATCGAGCCCCGCATCGGGCTCCCTGCTCGGCGGGAAGCCTGCTTCTCCCTCTGCCGCTCCCCCTGCTTGTGTTCCCTCTCTTAGCTGTCTCTCTGTCAAATAAATAAAAATCTTTTAAAAACATAATAAAAAAAATAAAAACAGAGTATAGGTACAAGAGTTTAGTATTCTGTGAGCACACCTTTCCTCCAGCAACTGTTCTGCCCAGACGTAGGTTTTACAGTCTGGTGAGTGGGTGTTGATATTAATTCCAGTGTATGTTTAAGACTAGCAGTACTTGCAAACTTTTTAAAGACCTTGCTAAAACTGGCAGACCTTCACCAAAATCTTTTCCTATTGCAGGAGCACGGTCGTCCTACAGGGAAACAGCGGCTGTGTTGGGCCAGAGCCCCGTTTGACCTCGCTCCTGAAGAGAACGTTGACTTCCCGAGCGGGAGCTGGGGCCTAGGCTTGCTGCTAGGCAATTACACGTGTTGCGTTTCCACACAAGCCCCGCTTAGTCCCAGACTGCCGTGATTCAAGTGCTGATGGTTTTGAGGGTTTTGAAGGATGGAAACAGTGTATCTGAGCTCCAGGGAAGCCCGTGCGTTCAAATTACCCCCAAAACAAGTCAAGGCAGCTCAGAAGAGGCAGCCCCGTACCTGGGAGCCCCCCATGCGTGTGCTCGGCAGAGGAACGCGCTCGCAGCTGCTCAGGGAGCGCGACTCATGCCAATCTGAGAACAAGAAGTCACTGTAAAAGGCAATTCCGTTCCTGAGCTACTCACAGAGACGGGGAATATCAGGCAGGCTCTACGAAACTGTAAATGACATCTGATTGGAACTGCCCTGGAAACTCGAGTGTGTGCGAGAACGGAGTCTCCCGCTAAGTACCGAGGCTTCACGGAAAGCCCAGCGCCCGGAGACAGCTGAGTGAGGACACGGGACCGGCTGCACGGGTGCACAGCGGCATGGCTCAGCCCGCCCCACTCGCGGCCAGTTGTCCCTGCACCCGCTGGAGCCGCGGGGAGCACCCCGCAGGAGGTGCCTCCTGCCTATCACCATGCACCCCGCAAGCCGCCTTTTCAGGCTTGCTCTCTGCGATCCCAGAGGGCTTCGGAGGGACCCTGCACCCTTGTGCATGGGCCTCATTCCCCATCCTGTGGGGGGCAGGAAGGTGGACTGCCCAGGGCCTCTCTCTCCCCCCTGCCTCCTCTGTCCTGAAAACTGTCAAGGTGACCTTGAGAAAGCTGAGGGGGACATCAAGAAAAAGAAAACTGCTTTTCTTTATAGATCAGCTAAGACAGAAATCGCCTTAAAATTAACAATATGTAGAACTGTATCAGCTGCCAGGAATGGATGGATCGCCCTCTGTTTCATGAGAAACAGTCAAGATAAATAACTCAAATAACATGAAAGTGACAAAATTCTTTAAAGTTTCCAAATGGAAAAACATGCATTTAAGCCATGCCTTTGAAGTGTGCCTACAGGCCACTGCTGGAGTCGGCTCTGGGGGTCCCCCACGGGGAGGAAATTTATCCACAGGAAAGAACAGAATGTGCCTTTTTCACACAATGGCATCAAGAGCATTACAGAGATCATTCTAACAGCTCTATTTTGCTATAACAGATGGTAAGCCATTTATCTAACTTTTGGGTGTACTGTTGGAAATTCATCACCCAAAATGTACTATATATCTTTCTTTAACCTTTTCATATTTAAGGAATGAAGGTATTCCAGTCTAGTTTCTTAAAGGAGGTCCTACAAAATGTCGTATGTTAGCAATTCCATTTAGAAAGTATTATTTTGAAGGAGAGAGTAATTGTATAAAGGATCACAGACTTAATACAAGGTACTGCAAAGTGAGAGTGACGACAGGGTTCTAGGGAGGGTGGAGAAGCCAATGAAGTTATTTTTACTTATATTCCAAAATATTTTAAAATTAATTCCTGAACTGAAAATCAGTAACAGCCAAGCAAGCAAACCCTACCAGCCCACTGTTAGTTTGAGCATCACTGCGCCTGATTTGGGGGAAGAACAGCATCGTGGTTAAGTAGCAGGTTTTTCAGTCACCTTAGACTTGCCAACATATGGTGTGGTTAAATAGTCCTTAAAATAAACATCCAGTCTTGACCATGTTTTTTGTCTTCTTTGCAAGATGGCCTTTGGTCCTTTGACAGGTGCACGGGTGGTCCACTGTGTGCTTATGCTGCACCATATCGGCACCCCCTTACTTAATCCAGACTTTTATGATCCTCATTCAACAGTTCAGGTGTCAAGAGGTGTGCAAGATACATGTTCGAGAGCACTGCAGAAAATTCCTGAGAGAAACTGAGGAAGACCCAAATATGTGGAGCAACTACCATGCTTATGAATTAGAAAACTTAATATTGTCAAAATGTCCTTTCTCCCCAAACCGATCCATCGAAACAAGGCAATCCTAATCAAAATACTAGCAGGCTATTTTTTGTTTTTTCTTTTTTTGGCAGAAATTTTAACAACTTATCCTAAAACTTGTGTAGAAAATCTGAGGACTTAGAAGAGTCGAGTCGACAACAACAACAAAACACACACACACACACACACACACACACACACACACACACACACAAAACCCATACACATTCCAAAACCGGTGTTGGAATGCTTATGTTACTTGATTTTAAGACATTATGAAGCTATAATGTTCAAAATATTGTAATGACATAAAATAGGCATATAGATCATTAGAACAGACTACAGACTCAGAAATAGACATGTAACTATGCAGTCAATAGATTTTTGACAAAGTGGTCACAACAATTCAATGAGGAAAAAATATTTTCATTGATGTGGGGCAAGTGGACATCCATATACAGAACAAATGAGCCTTGATCCTTTGCTCCCTTCGGGCACAGAAATTCACAAGAAAATGATCATAGACCTAAATGATCATAAGACCTAAAACTTAAGAAAACATAAGGGAGATTCTCAGTATTCCTGAGTGTGGCAAAGATTTTGTACAAGGATACAAAAAGCTTGAACTATAAAAGAAAAAGTAACTTCATAAAAAATTTAAGACTTATAAGACATTCTTGTGAAAATGGAAAGACACATCTTGACCTAAGATAAGACACTTGGAAAACATCAGTCTGACAAAGGACTTTAAAAAATACATAAAGAACTCTTATATCTCAGTAAGAAAACAAGTGACCTAATATAAAAATAGGTAAGAAATTTGGACATTTCACTATGTAAGATACGGCGAATAAGCATGTGGGAAGATCCTCGCTGTCTTAGTTATTAAGGGAACTATTATTAAAACCACCCGTTACCACCGCACCTCGAGAATGTCTCAATTTAAAAGGATGACTCAAACAATTGTTTTCGAAGGTGACAAGTACAAAGAATTGCCAGTGAAGATGTAAAGCGCTACACCCACTTTGGAGGACAGTTTTTCTTAAAAATTCAGTGTTAACCTTCCAAATGACACAGCCATTCCGCTCCCAGGTATTTACCCCTCAAGAAATGGAAACACCTGTCCACAAATAGACTTTCTATACATACCCCGATGGAAGCTTTATTTGTCATAAGCACAAACCTGAAATCACCAAAGTGACCATCAGATAGTTGAGTGGATGAATGAGTTATGTTATATCCACGCAGTGGAAACTTCTCAGCAACAAATAGGTGTCAACGATTGGTAAACACCACCATATTGATGCGTCTCAAAATAATTACCGATTAAGAGAAATCAGATAAAAAATAGGTGTTTTGTCTGTATGATTCTATTCACATAAAATTATAGGAGGTGCAAACTAATCTAGATCACTGTGGTTGCCTTTCCGTGGTGGCAGGTGAGGTAGGGGACAATTTGAGATTTTAAGGACTAAGAGGAAATTTTGGGGTATAATACATACGCTCACTATCTTGATTACAGTGATGGTTTCACATTTGCATACAAGTGTTAAACTGATCAGTTACACATGCAAAGTTTACTGAAGCACAATGATTCCTAAATACAAAAGTAAAATTAAAAAAATACCATTATCATTTTGGTAGACGTCTATTTCCTACGCCTTTAAAAATGAATTTACATTTGCAGGATTCCTTCCACACGATGGGACCCCACCCTCGCCGCACCCCGACGCATCTCTTTTTGAACTGTGGCGCCAGGCGAGTCCTGCCGTGGTCGGCCGAGAGCAGAGATGGAGGTCCCGCCAGGAGACTGCTCCGACCCAGGGAACGCGACTGGAGTGACCTGTTACTTCAAGCAAATGTAAACGCATGCTATCAATCTGAGCTTTCATCAGTGACACAGTATTTGAATTACTGCTTTGATGGGTAGCGCGTGTCCGCAACCTTCAGGCCTCAGGATCACGGAGCTGGCAGCTGGGCGCAGGTGTGACACACAGCAGGATGCTTTTCCACCTGAAGCAGGCAAAGGCAGAGATCCAGCTTTTCCATCTTTTCCCTCCTGTTTTTCTTCTTCTCCCCCTGCCTTCTGCTCAGTGCTTATCACAGACCTGTTACGGTCCAGACCCCACGTTGGGTCTAAATACACAATGGCCAGAAGGTGACACGGCCCCAGCTCTCACGAGCTGATGATCTTCCGAGGCAAACAGAAAATTTGACGTCCTGCGACAGACACGTAGATCCACGGGAGCACATCGCAGTCAAGATCCAGAACATTCCCATCCTTCCAGAAAGTTCTTCATGCTACCTTCCAGTCACCCCTCATTCCACCTAAGTAGTAACGGCCGCTCTGATTTTACAGAAGCTTCTCTGCCAAAATGTGTCAGGGCCCAAACAAGGGGAAATGGGCTCCTTTTGTGTGTCCCTGGGGGACTCTGTCAGGACAGAGGAGGCAGCGCAGAGTGGGAGCCGTCCGCGGTCGGAGGGAGGGCAAGGAGCGGGGGATCCAGCAGTTAGCCGTCGAGGGCTGCCCAAGCGGGAAGAAGGAGCTCCAAACAGAAAACTCCAGATGGACGGGAAAGGGGGAAGACAGACACATCTGTGTTTACGACTCTGGGGTAATGTCTTACCATTTACACAGTGGAGCCCTCTCGCCTCGCTTGGCTTTGTTCAGAATGCACTAACCTAATGCATTTTCATCAGAATGGTAACAGAGTGCGATTCTCCATCACCCTTGTGCTCTCTGAAACCCCGACCTCGTGCCAGAGCCCGGACAAGGTCACCGCGCGGTCAGTCTTAACCAGCTTCAAAGTAGGTCATTGGAGAAATTGCATGTTACTCCTGCCTTTCTATATTATATAAAATGTGCCTATGTCAAAATTTATGCAGCTCAAAGACACCCCCAAAGGGTCACTGGTTGATAAAAGACAGTATTACTCAGCAGTTTTTAATATTTAACCTTCTTTTAAAAAGATTTCTTAATTTATTTGAGAGAGAAAGTTCAGGCAAGAGGGAACAGGAGCAGGGGGAGGGGGGAGGGGGAAGCAAGGGGAGGGGGAGGGGGAAGG